GGAACTAATATTTGTGTGAAACGTTTCCACATGCTGATCCACATTAACAACCATTAAACAATTATGCCCTACTCAGCCAATTAGTACATTTGCATGTAAATCATATAATTATTTTCCGTATCCTCAAAACACATCTGCTTCACCATTCATTAGTAACATCAGGAGAAGTCAGATTATGATCATATTTGAAAGATATCTAAATACTATGTACCTGATAGCCATTTGTGTAAGAGGTTCTATTCCAGCCGGCTGACTCATTTGCGGCAGCCATTTTGAACAGTCCCACTTGACCAAGTATGAAGGTGTTGGAGACTTTCTATTGAACTTGGATGGCACATTTATTGTATAAAGACTCACTTCTTTTTTCTCATTAGTAGCAAATCTGTGAAGAGAATTTCAAAAAAAAAATTTAATCCTATTGAAGCTGCTCACAGAGAGAATCAGTGCCTCGGATGAAGGAATCCTTCTAAAACGTTTGGTAAATTCAGGATGACTTACATGTACATGTAACAGTACTTATTAAGTCATTTTATTTTGCAACTGTGCTTGTAGGTGAATTTTGAAATTATTGCAACTCATAAATGTAACCTTGGCGGTGTCTGAATCATAAAGGTACATGTAGCAATTATTAAATTCTGGTTCTCTGGGTGCAAGTGTACTGTTTGTTATATTACAGAGGAGTTTGTAAGAAGAGGTTTGTATTGACTGTACTTACAGCTTCCTAACAATTTTCACCAAACTTAACAGAGGGAAAAACTACTAATATCCTTTACATTGTGCATTTGTACTCTCAAAGACTAGTCAATAGGCTTAAATTGTAGAACTTGTTTTCATTCTGACTGCTTAACAAGTCAGGATTTCAGAAATTCAATGACAAACATTGCATTTAAACATTTTATTTCACTGTAACTGACTGTAAAATTTTTTTTTTCAATAGTTTAGTACTTATTTAAGTGCATCCTACCTGCAGGCTCTTACTCTAAAGAAATCATCCTGATTATTAACAGAAAAATAGAGCTGAAATTGTTTTTTCCCTTCTTCCAGTCTCCATACATATGCTGTTGTATCTCTGGAGCATGTTACAAACTGAAAAAATATAATATAATCATGAAATAAATTATCAGACTAGAAATAATATTAATTTTAGGTCAGAATGATTTTGAACCACATGTACAGTTACATAAATGTAAATTATTTGAATTTTATTTTTTCATTGTCTTAGGGTTATAGTTGCCTGGTAAATCTGGGGCAAAGGAAAATAAATGTAAAACTAGATATAAATCACTTTGATCTAAATTCATATAAAGTACATGTGTAATATATGTTTCAAACTCAAATCGCTGGTTCATTTTTCTTGTTTCTGCTGCCAGTAGCCATGGAATACAGACATAAATACCAGGAAACTACAGTGGAATAAAACCTTTATCCCTAAAGTGTTAGAGACTGTTAAAAAACCTTCACCTGACGTGAATTAGGATGTACATCAAGGTCATCAACATCAGTTGTGTGGGCTTTTATATCATGAACACTTTCAAGGGATGGATACTGGAACAAAATAGAGAAAAAATAAAATAAAAAGTTAAACACTTCACAAAACCAATGAATTTAAGTTTTGAAGCCAGTTCCAGAAATAAAGTAAATGAAAGGTTGCAAGATTTTTCATTTAAATTAAGTTCACATACAAGTAGAAGAACTGAGGATGTGAAAAATTGAAGTAAGGTTGCAAGATTTTTCATTTATTATATAAAGTAAGGTACCATTCAGACATGTACCATTCACTAGCAACTCTGCAACTGGTTTCCTCTCCAAATCATTGAGAAATTAATAATAAGGGCTCTCCTCAAGTTGAGAGTCACCTGTCACCTTGTTCTCCACACCACTAGCAAACTTGTTACTCTGGAGGTGAATTCTATCAACAACAGACAATTTCACCCGTAGCATCAAGGGAAAATCAAGCATACATATGTAACAGGTGTTACAGGTTATGTCCCTTAATTACAGCCCTGAATAATAATTTATTGGTTTTGTACATGCTCATAAGAGTGTATTTACTTCATGCATGCACACATAATGAGATATCATTTGTTTGCAGGGAGATCGATTCTAGTTTCTCTTTATAACATGACCACATTGTCAAGCAAGCAGATTGTAAGATAAACTACCATACTTAGGAAAAGGAGGATATTGTCTTGATCTAGACTATTACACATTCAAGGATCATATTCTCAAAACATGCATTAATTAACAGGAACAATTCACAACCACTAAGGAGAATTCAAATTTTGAACATGGAATTACCTTGAGAACTCTAACATGCCCATCAGAGCCACCTGTAACAATGTAGTGCCCATCTGCCGTGAATCTTACAACTTTCTGAAACCCTACATCATCGTCATCTTTAGAATCACCATCTTCACCAGAAACTGTCACCTTTGATTCCAGTTCTTTTATTGTGAATTTCTGGGTCTTTTCTTTGACAACAACCTTGTTTTTTCCTTTCACTTTCTGAGAGTTTTGAACTTCTTCCTTGACATCAAGCTCAAGCAACTGGCATTTATTATCCATTCCTACAGCAATAACATTTGATGTCGGGTGAATTGCACAGTTCATGATGGGTCTTCTCCCAGCTTCAAAATTATGAACTAGGGTCACTTTAAGGTCTTTACCATTTCTACCAAGCTTGTAAATATTCTGAAATTAAGAAAAAGTAATAATAGAGTACAGTTAAGTTAAAAATCCTTTCAGTGTGGTTGGTGTACACAAGATCTTTGTCGCTCCTGCAGAACCAAACATGAACAGGTTCCCCTCCCTTTCCTCAAGCCTTAACCCCAGTTACAAATTATTTTACACAGTCCAAGATAAACAGAGCCAAGATCATTATATCCTTTGGACAAGTCTCAATCATGGAATGCTTTCCAGCATCTTATCAGGCTGAACCTGAACTATTCACTGGTAACCATTCTAGACATGTTCTCCTACATTGAGAAAGTCACCAGCCCTGAACCAGAACTATAAAAGTACATTCTTTCCCAAAAATGTTTCAAACATGTTTGTTCAACATTCATCCGTCTTCTCTAATCAAAGGTATTTTAATGATTTTTCCTAAAACGTTAGCATCTATAGAATATCTGGATACTCTTCTGCCTAATAAGAGCAGCTTATACAGTAGAACCCTGTTAATCCGGTAACCAACAGGCCACAAAAATCTGGCCATATTAAAGGAGTGGCTGTATTAAAGGGGTTCTTTAAACAAAAAAAAAATGACTGACTAAGCTTTTGTTCGGGCCAGAATAAACTGGCCGTAATAACAAGGTGGCCATATAATGAGATGGCTATAAGGCAGGGTTTTCCATCTTGTATCTGTGCTGTTAATTCAGCTGCATCTAGTAGTTGGTTAGATATATGACCCTAGTGACAACCATTATCTTTAACATAAAGGTGGTTGCTAGTGGTCATATACATGTACAAGTACATTAAAAGTCTCAGAGGCTGTAAAAATTACTTTTCCAAAGAGATAATAGTTTATTTTGACAACAGCCATTTACACCCTCTATATTAGACTACGTGTGGGCACATTTTCCTTTGTAGCATTCTAAAATATTATGTTTTTCTCCTTATAGT